TGGTTATCAGTGATCAACTCAACCTTAAGCCCCCCTCACCTTTCCCAAAGGTTAGGGGGTGGGGCTGAAAGTCTCAACATATAGTTGGTTCTCCTGACAACCAGGCCCACCCTGAGGCTATCCAGGAGCCCCCTGGAAGTTGCCTCATTAAAACAAATGACTCTCCTATCCTCTAGGAAATTACAAAGGTCTTAGGAGTTCTGTGTCAGGAATTGGGGATCAAAGACCAAATATTAGAACAAAAGAGTCTCCTAGTGCCCTCATCTACAAGGATTTTAAGAGCCATGTGTCAGGGAATAGGATCAAGACCAAACATATTTCACAGTATCACACCATGAGAGTGAACAAAGGTCTACGTCTCACCATGGTCCATCTCCTGTCTAATAGCTGCCTCTGTATACAGGATAAAGTTCAAGATTCTTTGCATGATAAAGGAGATTGTTGGCCGGGCGCGGTGGCCCAAGCCTGTAATCCCAGCCCTTTGGGAGGCCGAGGCGGGTGGATCACGAGGTCAAGAGATCGAGACCATCCTGGTCAACATGGTGAAACCCCGTCTCTACTAAAGATACCAAAAAAAAAAAAAAATTAGCTGGGCATGGTGGTGCGTGCCTGTAATCCCAGCTACTCAGGAGGCTGAGGCAGGAGAATCGCCTGGACCCAGGAGGCGGAGGTTGAGGTGAGCCGAGATCGCACCATTGCACTCCAGCCTGGGTAACAAGAGCGAAACTCCGTCTCAAAAAAAAAGATTGTTGTGACTAGTTCAGGTTTCATTTTCTGTCTCATCTTCCACAAGACCACATCTTCTCCTTTGTGTTCTAATCTTGCCAATGAACCCCTCAGGCCCTTTTCTCCCCTGCCTCTCTGCTTTTTCCTATATACCTCCATGTGCCGAGATTGCTGTTTCTTCTTTCTGCACCTGGCTAATCCCAATGACCCTCTAAGATTCAGCTCAGGCTTCGTTTTCTCCTAGAAGACCTACTTCAACTGCCAGGATGTTTTATATCTCATCCTCTGACCTCCCAGAGAGCCCTCTGCATCTCTAGACCTTTGCATTTACCACGTCATATTAGATATTTCTGCTTGAGTCCATCTCTGCCACCAGACTCCAAACTCCTCAGACGGGGCAGCAACTGTTATTTATTCTTTTCTGTCTCTCTAGAACCTAGCATAGTACCAGGAACATAGTGTGTCCTCAAAAAAAAATATGACTGAACTGAAATTTCGAATTTCATATTTGCCAAGCGCAGACAAATATTTAACATGAAGAGACAAAATAGACCAAAGTACGTCCCCTGGGGAATGTCCAGGTAAAGGAGAACTACATCATTCACTGTCCCCATTTATGAGAAAAGAGTGAATTGGCTGGAAAAGGAGCCTGGCCTAAGAATTTCATACAGGACAAGTTAACCACATGTGTTATTTCAAAGTTTATTTCAAAACTAGTCCTTTGTGATATTAAAATTGGAAACAGAATAGATGACTCTATTGTTAAAAATATGTATATTCATGTATTTTTTAATAAAAAGCAAGGCCCAGGCCAAACTAGACAGAAAGAGGTAGAAACAAAGATAATTAACTTTCTCTGCTTAATAAAGTGGAAGAAGTTTGTGTTTTGGGCTGACAGCTCAGCCAGGAAGGCACGTGCCCTGAGAAAGAGGTAGGACAGGCCCTCAAGAAGTAGAGTAGATTATGAAAACAGGGGAAAGGAAAGGCCAAAGGACTTGTGGAAGGATGTGTAATATTCGATCTGGGGTAGCCTATGGTCTGAATGAAATTTTGTGTTCGCTCCCTGCACCCAAAAAAAACTTTTTTGTTGAAACCTAATCTCCAATGTAATAATATTAAAGGTGGGAGCTTTGGGAGGTGATTAAAAACTGGCCTTTGGGGTTATGAAACATGTCCAACATAGGTTAGTAAAGCTGCATCTCATCAGTGAAAGTAGTGCCCTTACAGAAGAGGCTTGAGGAAAGATGCTTGCCCCTCTGCTGTATGATGCTTTCTATGAGGAACAGCCCCTACCCAGACACCCAATCTGCTGACACTTTGATCCTGAGCCTCCCAGCCTCCAGGACTATGAGCAGGACATTTACATTGTTTATAAATTATGCAATTTCAGGTATTTTGTTATAGCAGCCCAAATAGATGAAGACAGAAATTGGTACCAAGAAAGGGGTCCTACTGTAACACACACCTAAAAATGTATAAGCAAGTTTAGAGCTGGGTAACAGGGAGAGGCTGGAAGAATTTGGAGGTGCATGCTAGAAAAAGCCTGCATTGGCTGGGTGTGGTTGCTCACACCTATAATCCTAGCACTTTGGGAGGCTGATGTGGGTGGATTGCCTGAGCTCAGGATTTCAAGACACTGTGAAACCTGTTCTCTACTAAACAGAGAAAAAAAATTAGTAGGGCATGGTGGTGAGCACCTGTAGTCCCAGCTACTTGGAAGGCTGAGACAGGAGAATTGCGTGGACCTGGGAGACAGAGGTTGCAGTGAGCTGAGATTGCACCACTGCACTCCAGCCTGGGCAACAGAGCAAGACTCTGTCTCTTAAAAAAAATTAAAATAAAATAAAATAAATGAGAGAAAGAAAGAAGAAAGAAAGAGGAAAATCTTGTGTTGCCATGAATTAAGCATGCCTAGTGTTCGATTATTGGAACACTAAGCATGTGGGAGTTGTTTGTATTCTGCCCAAGGTCATATCACCAAGGTCTGATTTTGAAAATTCAAACAATTGCAACTTCAGGCATAAATGGGTTAAAGATGATTCTGGTGAAGACTTAGAAGAGGAGAGCTGTAGATAAAGTTTCAGCCTTCTTAGAGATTACCTAAAAGGTCATGAGCAGAAGGCACAAATATGAATGATAAAGGCCGTTCTTTATCATCCATAATGAGGTTTCAGATGGGAATAGAAAACTGTTCCTAGAAACTGAATGAAAGGTAACTCTTATTATAAAGTGGCAAAGGATTTGGCTGAGTTGTGTTCATGTCCTAGTGTTTTGTGGCAAGAGAAACTTATGAGCAATGAAATAGGATGTTTAGTGGAAGAACTGTTTAAGCAAAGCACTGAGGACGAGGCATGGCTTCTCTTGACTGCTTATAGTACAGTGTAAGTCAGGAGAAATGCATTAAAGACAGAATTTATCATCCAAATGGAGGCAGAACTTAAAGATTTGGACATTTTTCAGCCTGCAAAAAATAGGAAAACATATTCAGGAGAGAACAATAAGGTGTATTCAAGTGAAAGTTTGATAAGGAGATTCATATGGGGGAGAGAAGCTAGATGCTATTCATTAAGACAAGGGAAGAATGACCCTGAAGGCATTACAGAGACCTTCAGGACTACTTCTGCGGTCACAGGCTATGTGTAAATCACAGGCTGTATGTAAATCAGACACTGCCTCCTCAAGCCTGTCTATAAAATCTGGTGCACTTGTATTCTGGGCCAGAATTCCCATTCAGGAGTCCCTCTCTCTCGAGGAAGAGAAAGCTATTCCCCTTTCTCTTTCTTTGGCCTATTAAACCTCAACTCCTAAACCCACTTCTTGTGTGTCTGCATACTTGATTTCCTTGGCATGAGATGACAAACCTTGGGTATTTACCCCAGGCGATGATGTTGTTTCACAATCACATGAGGTAGGACCCAAGTAGGCATTGAGATTGCAGTAGAAAGTTAAACAGAGAAACTTAATCTCCATCTCCCTCATACTTACACTCACTCTAGCCTGAAATGCTGGGTTTGATGCACAAAATTCAAGAGTGTGAAAGAGAGGAGGCTAACATCAGTTTATTTACATAAGAAAGGAAAGGATAACCCAAGACTGGAAGACTTGGAAATACTTAGGTTGCATATTTAAATACACAAGCTATATATATACCATATCTGTCAATCTATGTATGTATTTATGCATATATGTACGTATGTGTATATGTTTAAAGACATATACATTATCTCTTAAATTTTAAAACAAATTTGTAGTTAATTTGTTAACTACGAATTAACTTACTACTAAGTTTTAAAAAGCGAAGTTTGTACACTTTGCAACCATAAGTGGAACGGTAAATCTTCCATAAAGAAAAGAAAGTTAAGTAAAAACAAAAATGCACTGTTTTTTTCTTGACTTGTGAATCCTGAACCTGGCGCCTTACTTAGCAACTGTTTTTAGTGCTGTCAGCTTTTTTAAGCAGTTAAATTCTGAGTGATCATTCCTGCCAGTACTGCCTGCATTTCACTCCTGCAGAGTCACAAGCTCTCACCTCCCCCCACCTTACTGGGTGTTTTCCTTGGCCTTGGAGTGAGGTTTTTTTTGTTTTTTGTTTTCCCCAGAAAACCTTTAAGAAATATGTTGTTCAGACACTGCTCTTCCTCCTTACCTTCTTTTTTACCTTTACCTGTCCTAGCTCCCCACAGCTCAGTAGGACCCCGATGCCCTCTGCCTTCAGCCATTATTCAGCTCAGCCCTGCCTGGGACAGGAAGCCTTTGTAATTTAAATCAATAGACCCTTACTGAACTGAAAATGCATCCCTGGGACCTCAGCCTCATCCCTGGAAATTGTCTTACTGCCTATGAGCCTATATGCCAAATGCCAGGGGAGACCCTTGGCTTCTCAAATCCACAGATTCCTCAGTGTACATAATTCTCTACTCTTCCATTGCGTGTGGGTAAACTTCTGCCTCTCTTTCCCTAGTCAGGATTTTAATTCCCACCACAACCAGTTATGTCCCCAGATCCTCCATTTGGTTGCTTCCCCTTGGTGCCCTCAATTCTTGTTAGCCTTTCCAGTTGTGTGTTGCTTCCTGCATCCCATGACGATGACTGGAATTATGCTATTGCCAATTTTCCCAGATATTTGATGAGCTGGACTCTCCTTTCTGCCTGCTCAGAACTTGGACTCCGCTGGGTGGAGCCAGAACTTGGCATGCTGATGAGAGCAGCACTGAGCCTCCCCTGCCCAGCCATTGTGATGGTTAATATTGAGTGTCGACCTGATTGGATGGAAGGATGCAAAGTATTGTTCCTGGGTATGTCTGTGAGGGTATGGCCAAAGGAGATTAACAGTTGAATCAGTGGACTGGGAAAGCCAGACCCACCCTTAATCTGGGTGTGCACCATCTAATCAGCAGCCAACTTGACCAGAATTAAAAAGCAGGTGGAAGAATGGGAAAAGACTAGACTGGCTTAGCCTTCCAGCCTACATTTTTCTCAGTACTGGATGTTTCCTGCCCTCTAACATCAAACTCCAAGTTCTTCAGCTTTGGGACTCAGACTGACTTCCTTGCTCCTCAGCTTGCAGACAGACAGCCTATTATGGGACCTTGTGATTGTGTGAGTTAATACTCCTTAATAAACTCTCTCTCTCTCTCTCTCTTTTTTATATATATGAGAGAGATATATATATATACACACACTATTAGTTCTATCCCTCTAGAGAGCCCTGACTAATACAGCCACCCTCTGTGGCTCCAGGCCACCTGCTCCTACTCCACCTCACCCAGCCAGCCCTGCCCAGCATGGATGAGCTCTTCCTGGACTCTTCCTCTGGGGCTCCCAGTCCTCCTCCTCTGCTGATTCCATCAACAACCTCAGACTGATGGGGAGGTAATTTAGCAGACACAATTTGGTAACTTGGCATTTTTCTGGCCTGACTTTCTTTTACAACCAGGCTGTTATTCAAAAGCAAATCTTAGCCCATATGCATAGCATACGTGTTCTGTATTTATGTGTTAAATAGATTTCTTCCCCACCCATTCCTTATTGCTTCACTTATTCAAATATTATCCAGGCTTTAAGGCTCTAATCATGAGTTGCCTCCCTTTTAAAGACTTTCCTCTCCATTTTAAACTTTATTGATCTCTGTATTTCTTAGGACTGCTACTAGTAGCATAATTTAAATCATGATTTTGCTGTAAGCCCTCCTTCATTTTCCTCAGGTCTTTAAGTGTGTGTGTATGTTTGTGTGTGTTTCCAGTAAAGATTATAAGCTCTCAGAATGCAGAGGTTATGATTACTTTGTTTTCCCTCGAGTATAATTTTTTAATAAGATTATTATTGACAGAGAAGAAAGGTCTTTGCCTCAAAAGAAGCAGTGGTGAGTCCAGGTATAGTGGCTCACACTTGTAATCCCAGCACTTCGGGAGGCCAAGGCAGGGGAATCACTGGAGACCAGGAGTTCCAAGACCAGCCTGGGCCACACAGTGAGACTGCATCTCTACAAAAAATTAGCTAGGTATGGTGGCTCACACCTATAGTCCCAGCTACTTAAAAGGTTGAAATGAGAAGATCTTCTGAGCCCAGCAGTTGGAAGCTACACTCCAGCCTGGGTGAGAGAGTAAAACAACATCTATAAAAAAGAAAAATAGGTGTGGCCAGGCGCAGTGGCTCATTCCTGTAATCCTAGCGCTTTGGGAGGCTGAGGTGGGTGCATATCCTGAGGTCTGGAGTTTGAGACCAGCCTTGACAACATGGCAAAACCCAGTCTCTACTAAAAAAAAAAAAAAAAAAATTAGCAGGGAGTGGTGGCAGGTGCCTGTAGTCCCAGCTACTTGGGAGGCTGAGGCAGGAGAATTGCTTGAACCTAGGAGGTGGAGGTTGCAGTAAACCAAGATTATGCCACTGTACCCCAGCCTGGGCAACAGAGTAAGACACTGTCTCAAAAAAAAAAAAAATAGGTGTAAGTTAGGTGTGACTTTTTTCCAGTGGGCAGATATTACAATGTCCTGGAAACTGAAGAATGGAGTGGAAAGAGCTGGTGAATGGCCTTAGAGAAGGCAGGTGGGCTTCCTGGCAGCAGGTCAAGGAGCATCATTAGGTGCTCCAGATTACCTGCTAATTTTTCCCGAGCCTCAGACAATAAAACCCAAAGCCCAAGAAGTCTTTCCAGCCCAAGATGGCTGTATTCTCTCAGTGAAGATTCTGTGCCAAAAACAAATCTCTGCCAAGCCCCCAGACTAAGCCCCAACCCACCATTATGACATCTCTGCTGCAGATCAGGCAAAAGGATTGGAGCCAGCGTTCCTCTTGTTGGGTAGAAAACAGATGGCTGGACCCGAGAAAGCTGACGGAAGGAGTCGCAAAACAAGTATCAATCAATCCAAGCAACTCGGCATTAGCAAACAGGCGGCTTTGCAGCTCTGGGCAGGGCTCTCTGGTGGCGTTTTTAGCGGCTTTCCTAATTAAGGATGAGCTGAGGAACTCATCAGCCACCCTACGTCCCTGTTAAATGTGGCAGGTGGCATCGAGAGCCCCTCCTACTGTGACTTCCCAGTTGTGCTCAAGAAGGGCACATCAGTGCCAGCCAAGGATCTGTGAACAGAAACAGACTGGAGGAGGAATTTAAAGGGACATCACCTGCTAGAATACAGCCCAGTTGGCTTTATAGTCTGTGTGTCCCAGTCCAGCACATCTGTTGGTGGGTCAAGGTGAATTTTGGCTCTCTGACGAGATGCAGATTCCAATGGCAGTACAGATTCTTCCAGGAGAAAGGCCCCCTGTTACAGCTTTGGTAATTCCCAAAGCACTTAGCATGGCGCTTGAAACATTGACAAATGTTTTGTTGAAATGTGGCCAGCTCGATCCATTGAGTTTTATTTAGATTTCTAAATGTTCCATTTTGTCTGTCCCACTACCTGGGTCTTTATCCTCTGTCCACTTTTAATACTTTTTACATATTTCCACTGTGTTGGCTACATCTCTAAAGTCCTTAAGGAAGACAGCCAGGACTTGTATTTTTCTCTGGATCCTTCTATCTCTCTAGTACCTGAATCAGGAATGAGAAAATCATGCGCTGGCTCATATGCTTGCTGACCTCACTTGGTGTTCAGGACTGAATGTGGATGTGCTGTCAGGAAGCTCACCTGCCTTCTCTAAGTCCATTCACCAGCTCTTTCCACTCCATTTCTCATCTTCCAGGACATTGTAATGTCTGCCTGCTGGAAAAAAGTCACATCTAACTTACATCTACTTTTGTTGTTGTTGTTTTATTTTGTTTTGTTTTTTTGAGACAATGTCTGACTCTATTGCCCAGGGCACTGGCACAATCTTGGCCCACTGCAGCCTCCTCCTCCCAGGTTCAAAGACTTCTCTAAAGTCCTTAAGGAAGATAGTCAGGACTTACGTTTTCCTCTGGATCCTTCTATCTCTCTAGTACCTGAATCAGGAATGAGCAAATCATGGGCTAGCCATTCATGCTTGCTGACCTCATCTGACGTTCAGGACTGAATGTGGATGTGGGTTGCACACATGAGTATCTGAGGCCTGGGTCCTCTCTTGCCCCTTGCTCTATTGTCCACCTATGCCAGATACTGTATGAGGAATGCCATTGCCTTACTAAACTCCATTACCACATCAGAGGGATGTGGAATCTTTGTGTTCCTTGTTTAGTGATCAGAAGGAGTCAATGACCTTACATCAGACTCAAAATACTCATTTTACCCAAAGTACAGAAGACTGACCTTTACATTTTCCAATTGTGTAAACCTCACATGTGATCAATTTTACATTGTTAAACTAGATGAAATCTGTAACATGCCCGACATAGTGTCTGACATGCAGAAGACACTCCATTTGTGATTGCAAATGTAAGATTTTTTAATTATAAGAATTAAAAGACTTTATTCATCTTATTGTAAGATTTGTACTTCCTTGAGGTTCTTAGTTTAGGTTCCCAGTGGAGAAAAGGAAAAAAACAGAAAATAAAGAACCTTTTTAAAAACAGATGAAACATGGCTAGAACCTCACAGATTTCCTTCTAAGTATTTGGATTTTAGACTTCAAGAAGGATGAGAGTGATTCTTTGATCACTGGCAGGGCCAAATTTATTGCTTTCACGGTCAGTCTGGTTTACTCACACCCGTTGTTGCTATCTCTTGCAAACCATAGTGATATGGAGGTGTGGAGAGCAAGGAAAGATTGGACAAGCAGGTGTGATCAATCCCAAGAGGCAGGTGGGGACAGGATCCCAGAGCAACAAGCTTAGGGTAAAACATGGATGGCCCTGGGAAGCGAAGCACACACAGGTGTAGAAACCCTAAACTCAGTGAGAATAGATCAGGAACAAGCCAATGGGAGCAAATAGGTCAAGAAAAGTCAAGCTCCGATTCTGCCATCCAGATTCCCCTCAGAAGATGTGTAAGTACTGTGTGTACTATTTGACTTTTCAGCTTTCTAACTAGAAGCAGAAACCCAAGTGCACTCAGGAAAATTATGGGACTGTTGAGAAAGGTAGACCAACTACAGATGTGTTCTGACTCTACCTGAGTCAAAAGTAGGGACCCGATGGGGTGGTGGTACAAATGGCAGGTGGTTCTCATTGCTCTGATTATTCAGACATGCATCCCAATGGCAGTGCTGGGAGAGATGCCTAGAGATGTGCATGGCTGACCTCTCTCTGTTTCTTTCTGTTTCTCACCCAGACCCCCTCCTGCCCACCTGCATTGATTCTGGAGTTCCATGTTGTTGGTTCTCCATGGGAGTTTGTGGGTGGACAGCCTGTATTAGAAGGGGATGATATATGATATAAAAATAATACACATGAAATTAATTTCAAAAGGGCCTAGAAAAGGTCATAAATGGCAGGTCCATAGATAGTTATTTTTAAAAATCCAGGTTAAATATTCACCAGGCTTTGAGTCAGTGTTCTCAAAGCCCACTCTCCTTATGAGGCTATCTCACTATTTAACAAATATATACCTGATTGAAATTCTCAGTAGACCAGGAATCAAGGATTTAATGAGGAGAAAACCAAAGCCATCTGAAAGCATCAAAAAAGACAGAGATGTTCTTAGAGTCTGATTGGGCCAGTGTTCCCTGCCTCCACCTGACAGGCCTGCCTTGAAATTAGTTAAAAAGTCAAATTTGACTGTCATCCCAGTATCTGGTGAAGGAGCAAGCTGTCCATAAATCAACTTGCGTTTGCATAATAATTTTATGGTTTTCTAAGTGCTTTATCATCCATTGGCTCATCTGAACTTCATGGCAGCTCTGCAAAGTAGGCAGGGAAAGAATTGGTGAAAAAGCCATAGAGACTGCTGGAGCCGGACTGTCAGAGTTTAAATGCCAGCCCCGCCTCTTGCCAGCTGAAGACCTTGGACAAGTGGCTCACCTCTCAGTACCTCTACCACCTTCTCCGTAAAATGGGCACAATCAAAGTACCTACATCATAGTTTTTTGGAAGGAAAAATAAATGAATTGATATGTGTGAAACGCCTGGTAGATTATTCTTTAAGGCTGGAAAAAATATTCACCTTCAATATTATTGGTCCTAATTTATAGTTGTATCCAGATCTTTAGACCCAGAATCACCACCAACTGGGAATTCACTTAAACTCTACTTCAGTTTCCACATATGTAAAATAAGGGCTCATGCCTACCTACCTCATAGACCTCCTAACAGATACAGAAGATAATGCATCAGAAAAAGCTTTGCAATCTGCAAAAGGTTATAGACTTCAAGGAATAACATTCCTTCAATGTCCTCTCAATAGGGATGGATCTGATATCTCACCCTGGCTAGGTTCTACTCTCAGACCTTCGCAGAGGACAAGCGGATATTGAGAAACACCAGAAAGGGAGATGTTATCGATGCTTTACCCCAAATCCTTTGTTCCTTCCAGCTCCCACCAGGACCAGCCCAGCATCAGTAAAGCAGAGATGAGCAGAGCCTCACAAGTAACACCTGTCTGGAGGGATGTGGTATTTCCACAGCCCATAGCAGATGTGCCAAAGCCCAGCAAAGGTTCTGAGAGGCAGGCCCATCTGCCACTCCTCCCTGACAGCTGAAAATTTCTTCCAGCACTGGAGTATGTCACAACCTGTCAAAGATCAGTTTGATGTTTACAGTCCAGGGTGAGGAACAGGGCTGATGTGAGACAAGGCAGTCAGAAGATTGCCTGAACCCTGTGAGGCATGAGTCAGGGCTCCGAGAGGGTGAGAGAGGAGAGGGCAGCACACACTGGACCCTTCATGTTTTGTCCTAAGTCCTCACCATGTTATTTTTTTTTTAGGAAGAGATGCTGCTGAAAGGAAAACGAAACACAAATTGGCAACATCAAATTTCAACGAAACTGTCAAGCAAGCATGGAGAGAAAGCATTCCAGGAGCACCAAGAAGTGGATCTCCAAACATGATGAGGTGGGGAAGCATATGGCATCTCCTGAGGGAGCATTAACCCTCTTCTGCAAGACCTTCTTGGGGAAAGGGGTCAGGGTGGACAGGCTGTGACCCCTCCTCACTCATCTCCCTAGCAACTGAGCTGGTACCCTGCTCAGTACACTAAGACTCTGCATGATATTTTATTTGAACATGCGATTCTTCAGCTAGAAGCACAGACATAAATAAATATCATGAGTGAACCCCATTTCACAATCCAGAGTCACTGTGTCCTGAGCAATATGGCCCAGCCAGAAGGAACAGGTCACCTCTCTGACACTACTATGATACCCTCCATGGGACCCCTGTCTTATGATTCCACCACCAAATATTTGTGCACCAAACACTCTGGACAGATACCAGAAATACTAAAGGTTTTAAATCCAGTTTCTTCCCTTAATAGGTTTACAGAGGGGCTGAGAGGTGGACATATTCTTCATCAGAAGACACGCCCAGGAAGTGGGCCAGGTCTGTGTGTGCCAGAGTCAGGGTGGCAGCACAGGCTTCCTAGGGGCAGTGGGTCCAGAGCAGTGCCTGCAAGACAGGAAGTCGTGAAGGAAGCAGAAAAGAGACAAGGAAATGTGTCTACAGAGGCAAGAAGGGATGGGGTCTGCAGAGGAATGCGGGCTTAGAGAGACAACAAGGATGTGGAGGCAATGTGTAGGTGACCTGGGAGCAGAGGATTCCTGTAAGGGAGTAACGGGGATGGTGGGAGGAGAAGCAAAGAATCATTCTCAGTCTATTCAAAGACTCATATGGTCAAAGGAACCCAAAAGCAGGACATGTGTGACCTATCTGGGTACTAGAGGTTGGGTTGTGTTGTTCAAGCTTCTCACCCACTTCCACTTGGGATGGAGACAAAAGAAGGGAACTGGGAAAGGGAGACAAAAGTAAAGAAGGGGGGCCGGGCTCGATGTCTCATGCCTGTAATCCCAGCACTTTGGGAGGCCGAGGCGGGTAGATCACGAGGTCAAGAGATCGAGACCATCCTGGTCAACATGGTGAAACCCCGTCTCTACTAAAAATACAAAAAATTAGCTGGCCATGGTGGTGCATGCCTGTAATCCCAGGTACTCAGGAGGCTGAGGCAGGAGAATTGCCTGAACCCAGGAGGCGGAGGTTGCGGTGAGCCGAAATCGCACCATTGCACTCCAGCCTGGGTAACAAGAGTGAAACTCCGTCTCAAAAAAAAAAAAAAAAAAAAAAGTAAAGGGCAAGTGTAAAGTCTGCAGCAAGAGGCTCACTGATGTCCTTGCCTTTCCTGCTCCAGCCCCACTCCATACAGGGCACATAGCCCAAGGCTGGACCCCACACCAAAACAGGAGATAGAACTGAGATGGAATCAGAAACCAGAGTAGAACAGAGTGGAACCCAGGGCTGTGACTTGCTTGGAGTGGCTGCAGGAAGACTGGAGTGGAGTAGGAACAGGAAGCAGGGTCCCACGATGTTCCTGAGCCACAGCCCCTCCCACACCTGACTATGCCCCACTGAGGCTGAAGCCTTGCAAGTCACATCCACTCCTAGGGAAGAAAGCAATGCAGTCAAACTGTCAATCAACTGACAAAAGCAAGTGAGACATTTCCTCTGTTCCTTTTTGAGGCATCAAGAGGATGGGGCCTGGGGCACAGAAACATGGGTTCACTGCCAGGAACACAGAAAGGAACCCACAAGAATGTCATGGTGGCCCCTGTCCATACTGCTAACCCACTTATATTTGTCCACATCTACACAGACCTCTGCATTCCATCTACTCACAGGCACCTTGTCACTTAAGTAGACACATACCAAGAAACACACAGAAATGTGAGAGGATCCCCAACACCTATCCCGCAGACCTCAAGCACATACCTTCTGGCCTGGCACCTGATCTTCAAGCCCAACAATGGCAAATAAGGAAGTAGGGTTGCCAGATAAGACACAAGACACCCAGTCAAATTAGAATATTAGACAAGTAACAAGTCATGTTTTAGTCTAAGTATCCCAAATAATGCATGGGATATACTTATCCTAAAAAAATAGATTTTTTGCCTCTCTGGAATTCCGATTTAACTTATATCCTGTATTTTTAGTGTCATCCCTAGAAGATGACAGGTGGAGGTAAGGGAGTAGGAGAGAGAAGATGAGGGGAGGGAAGGAAGAAACAGGCAGGTGATATCTCTTTCTGTAAAATAATGATAATAAAATAACATAGCCAAACACTTTAATGAGTTGCAAAAACAGCAAGGCAGATGAGCCACGTGAAGATTTAAGGAAGTCATCTCCATGGTCACCACTTCCCAAGATGACCCAGCAGGATACCCTTCTGGGTCAGGAACTGCTCAAGGGTGATAATGCAGTGGTCCCACCAGAAACTCCTTTGCATATTTGCTTTGTGTTAATATTCAACATAATGATACTCAAACCACTTAATACTCAGAATACTCTACAAAATGGTATTAAGATTTCCATTGCACAGCAGTTAAGAAGGGTTAAGGGGTTTGCCCAAAGTCACGTATCTTTGAATGACATATCCAGGATTGTAAGCCTGACCAGACCCCAAACCTGGCTTCATTCCTCTACCCCATGCCCAGAGGCCCCATGCTATCCTCAGCACCATCTAGGGGAACATTCTGCAGCAATGGAACTGCTCTGAATCTGCACTCTCCAACATGGGAGCCGCAAAACCATGTAGCTACTGGGCGCTGGAAGTGTGTGTGGCTAGGGAGATGGAGGGATGGAAGTCTTCATTTAATTTTCATTTCATTTCATTTTAAATAATGAAAAACTTAAAAAGCCACATGTAGCTTGTGGCTCCCACAATGGAAAGCACAAATAACTCCTCTCTGGCCAGGGAGCCAAGCTCCCCCAACCCCCTTCACCTGTCCCTTTGGTTTCCCTGAAGCCTCGGTCTGGCATCTCCTATATGGGGCAAGGGTCTCAAGAAACACAAGATGCTGTTACAACATCTTTGGAAATCATCCTTTCCCATCTCCTCACCTCCCATATGGGGACTCTCAAAACCAAGGAGCCAGAGGCTCCAGGATCATTTCAAGAATAGAGCTAGTACTGGAAAGGGGGTGCCTCACTCCCACAACCCTGTTCTTTTCTGGTTTAGGATTGGAAAAGCAAAACTCACTGGTTCCCAGCACAGGCTGGGCAGGCCTAGAAGTCCCCTCTGGGATCCTGAGCCCCACTTCCAAATCCCCACTGTTGTCAGAAAGGGTGTGGAGGAGATCCATCCCAGAGACCAGAAGAGTTAAGTCTATCTGATTAATGCAGGGAATTTGAGAGACAAAGGAAAAAACGACAACATTAGCACAAAACCTTGCTGAGTGTGCTCTCCCCATTACCTCAGAATCATAATTACATCAGCCTTTCATATTACACACCCTAGTAATTATAGTCAGCTAATGGCTTCCCACTGAAATCGGATATTAACTTTTTATTACACCCCCTCAGACCAGGATGGAGACAATCACAGCATCAAGGAAGCCTGGGGTAGTCCCTAGAAGGTCAGCAGCTCCAGTGACCTCCTTCAGGGGCAACCCAGCCCAGTCAACGCCCCACCCACCTAGGACTGCCAGATACTCCTGTTATGGTTGTATCCTGCCCCCTAAGAGAATCCAGTGAGAAATGAGGGGTCCTGAAATCCAGTCCAAACTCACTTGCTTAACTCTGCACCATGGAACAAGTCTTTTCTGTAATCCATTCACAGGGTCCCCTCCCGCACTGCACACACTCCTCAAGGTCCAGGTCTAGCCAGACCCTCAGGTCCTCAGCCCACTGGAGAAGAGACGTGTGCTCTCTTAAAAGCATCTGTGATGTAAAGGGATGACTTGTGTGCTAGTCATGTTTTTCACAACTATGCATAGAGTGACCTTGGACCAGTAATTTCCTGTCTTTGGAGCTCAGTTACTCCTATTGTGGCAAGGAGGAGGTCTGTTCTGCCATCCTCTTAGGGATGCTATAAAAATCAAATGAGGTCATGGCTTTGAAAATACTTTCTATTCTCGACATCCCACATGAACATCAGGCTTTATTAATTATTCGGCTGGCTCTCACCCCCGGGGGTCTTTTGGGAGGTTGGGCTGCCCATCCCCTGGCATGCCAAGCTTGCCTGGCAGTCACAGGTTGTCACGCTCTGGTCCTCAGCACTGTGAAGATCTGCAAATCCCATGTGGTACTCTCGAGAACTACTGCTATTGGGGGAAATACACATTTATATGTTAATTCTTTAGACTTTTGAAAGCATTTGTGCATGCATTGTCTCATTTGAACTTCGCAACCATTCAGTGATTTGTAGGGAAGGCACTCTCCTCACTTTGCAACAAAGGAGAAAACTCAGGGGAGTGAAATGACTTCTGGCATTACATAAATTCAAATTTACACATCTGTAAGAGAGACAGGTCGGAATGGGACTTTTCTCTGGAATCACAGTGCTCATGAGGCCTCAGGTCCAGTAGACACGTGGGCATTAATACGTCATGAATAATGGGAAGATGAATGAGTGGATAAATAAACAAACATCTCATAGCCATCTGTAAACAGCACCAAATCTGGATTCACACAGCAGGAGAGACAGGCACAAGTCAGGATGCCTTTAAGAAGTCAATGTTACTAGCCTGGCCAATGTGGTAAACCCCATCTCTGCTAAAAATACAAAAATTAGCCAGGCATGGTGGTGGATGCCTGTAATCCCAACTGCTCGGGAGGCTAAGGTAGGAGAATCATTTGACCTGGGATGCCAACATTGCAGTGAGCCGAGATTGCACCATTGCACTCCAGCCTGGGCAACAAGAACAAAACTCTATCTCAAAAAAAAAAAAAAAAAGAAAAAAAGAAGGCCAGGTGCGGTGGCTCATTCCTGTAATCCCAGCACTTCGGGAGGCCAAGGTGGGTGGATCACGAGGCTAGGAGTTTGAGACCAGCCTGGCCAAGATGGTGAAATTCCCATCTCTACTAAAAATACAAAAAAATTAGCCGGGTGTAGTAGCATGCCTGTA